CAGCTTCCACTGTGTTACCATATAAGGAGGGTACCTCAGAAACTTACATAGAATCCTCAACAAAACTGGAATTAGGGTGGTATTTAAACAGACACTCACTCAAAGATAAGGTTTATCGACTGGCAGAAGAATCCAATAGAATCAATTAAGCAAAAGAGTCTTATCTATGAAGTTCCATGTAATGACTGTGAGTCAGGTCAAATACATAGGTTAAACTAGTCGGTCGGGGTAAATTAGAATAGCCGAACATAGGAATCTAGCTGAATATAGAATGACAGATCCGAATAAGATGACTATTCTGGAAAAACACTCGGCTATTTCAAAGCATGGATTAACACACAACCACACAATGTGATGGGTGGGATAAAACCACCATACTTAAGTTCAATATAATTAGGTGTAGATTGATTACTGAATCTTTGTTCATGGAATCAACACTCAACACATGTGAGAGAAATGAGTCAACACTTATAACAGAGATGTGGAAAATTTTGTTACTAATGAAAACGAATTATATGAGGTGACGAGAGTATAAAAATCACATGTCGAAGGTAGTGTGATTACGTTGATATGATTATGAGGAGTGGTAATTAATGCTGGAAATGTGATCAAGTAAACAGTAATACTGTATCACTGTGTGTTATATATCAAATAAACAAATCTAATGTGGAGTTGAATTCTACCACAGTGTCCAAGTTTTACATCTTTAGTTATCGAAATTAGATAAATTAATTCAACTGAAAATGCTTTCTATGGATTAGTTAATTTTGACGAATGAAGGGTATGAATGTAATTTTTGTGAGATACAATTCTTTTCTAGTTTTATATAAAAAGTTAGTCTTCTGCATTCATTAGACCACTGTGTGTGTGTTTTGAAAGTTTGTAGTGTAATTGACATGGTATCGATAGATAAGTCATCACTACATCACTGAAAATTTGAGTGACCTTCACGTTTCACTCTGACTGGCTTTTAAATGGATTTCAATGTATCAAAATTTTTAATGCATCTATTACACAGGTGTACTGGGAGCGAATGAACCAATTCCTTTTGTAATTTAACACATTGTGAGTAACTGAAGTAGTCTGTCTTTCTCACTCAGCTATAAAAAGCTGTCATATACTTCAGTAGGCGTTCATTTCATTCATTAGAAAATGCACTGTGTAAAGATACCGATAATAAAAATGGTTTTCTAATTAGGATAATTGTTTTTTATATCATACCGTCATTGATTGGACCTAATTGATCAGTCTCTATTGGCATTTGGGCTCCTGTGCGGACGCCTCGATATTGCCAGCCTTCTTATTATGTTAATGATGGATCGTGGCTAGCAGTGGCTATCGTGGCTCGGTGGTGTAATGGATAACGTGCTGGCGTTTGAAGCGATTGCTCTCAAGTCCAAATTCACCTGGGAACAACACCACTCACTGGGAGGCAAGTACATTCAGCTGACCAGTGAGTCCCAAATAGGATGAAATGCGCATCCTGAATTCCACTACAAGTCACGATCCACTATTAACTTGGTTTTCGAATTATTAGTATTGATCACTTTTATACTCACAGTTGTCGTGATACCATATGGAGTTTATAGAATATATTATTTGAACAAATTTTAACTCCCTGAACAATATTTTTCGATAAAATAACCAAAGAGTATAAATAATAGTAATAATAACAGTATTAGAAGCCATGAAAGGTGATGACCCGATGTCCTGACCTTGTCGTCTAGTCTGTAGATATTTGGTTATGGATGAATATTAAAGTGTTCATAAGTTCAGTGATCCTGATCGTTCATTCAACCAGCACAAAAATTTACGTTTTGACATAACTATTATAGCAGTAGGTATATGATGTACTGTTGTGCCCATAGGGGCCGATTTCCATCAACCTTGAAGTTTTCACCTGTGAAGGGATAGACTGCAAATATTTTGAAAATTCACCAGAGTACAAAATATGATTCGATAAAATTTAAATGACTGAAACATATTTAAAAAGAGAAGTCAGATATAATGTATTAAGTGGAAGCTTTTCGTCAGCTTGAAGATTAGGCAGACTAAAAAACCAGAAAACTAGAGTTTTACTGAAAATATCTATCAGAACATTAGAGGAGACCAGAAGTAAAGATAACTTTTTCCCCCTTTTTATTCTTCATAGACGTACAATCGCAAATTATGCATTTTTAGTTAACTATGTTGAATAGTTGTTTCAACTACAGGTGGCACAGACGAGGACGTCAAACCTAGGATCGAAAACACAGCAAGAGAAGTTAATGTAGAGCAGACAGAGGCGATGAAGATACCCAACCAACACCACCACCAACAACAAGCTCCATTCACCATCAACAGGAGAAACTTAAAGGAAGTAGCCTCTTTCACTCACCCTCCTAGGCAGCACAGATTCAACTACAATCGGAGACGGCGGTGGCAGCACAGATAAGGACGTCAAAGCCAGTCAGGATCGGAAACACAGCAAGACAGGCCTTCGTTCATAAGTTTGAAACCAGTGTGGAGATTTAATGCACTGCACTCAGCATTAAGCATCAACAACAACAACAACATCCAGATTTTCAACACCAATCCAGTCAAGTAATTCAGTGCTTCTGTGTGATGGTTCACAGAGTTGGCGCCTCACGGAAAGCATTTCCAACAAACTACAGATATTCATCAACAACTGCTGCCTACGCTGGCTCGATGCTGACACTGAAGATCAGATCAGCAGGCCAGAATAATAAGAATGAGCAACAAGGAACTCTGGTTGGCTGGTGATGAACCAACAAAGCAAGAACCTATCACTGAACAAATATGCCTGAGGAAGTGGAGATGGATTGGGCATACACTGAGAAGACCATTTGGAGACATGACGCTCCGGGCCATGTACTCTAGTGGAACCCAGATGGGAAACGACGAGTTGGTCATTCGAGGTGAGGTTGACGTGGAGGAGATTGTGTGAGGAATAAATGAGAGGTTGTGGGTAGTGGTGGAGCGAGGTTGAAGAGATTGTAGAGAAGTGCAGAGTGGAATGGAGATGTGTTAGTGAAGTTGTATGTTCCAGTAGGAACCCAAAGGACATATAATAAACCTTAGTAACAAAGATCAAGTTGAATGAAGACCGAAAATTCACAGGTGTGATGCGAGGTGAAAATAAATCACATAAACGAATATAATCACTCGTGGAGAATATAAAGTTACATAGTATGTGATAATGATTTTCAAGATAAAACATGACCAGAACAAGCATGGTAACAAAATGATGATATTAGGTTATGGAAACGCATTATAAAATGCTACAAAATTGTTGACAATCAGACACCGGATAGAGTTCCATGTGTTTACGATTACCAATCTAGTAAGTGGAAAGTAGCAAGAAATATTGTCCGAGTTACTTTTCTTCACATAAATCTGATCTCTCCATGGACACATCGAGAGACTCTACAATACGCAGACGATTGAAACATGCCATTTTCGGTAAACATTTAATCACCTTATAGATGGCTTTGAACAACAAACTAGTTGTAACACTAAGACCCTTGTTGATAGGGTGCTTGATTATGGAAAGAACATTAAAGCGAATGACCTATATACCTACATAAATTCAACTTCGTTACCAGGTGTAATTTAATGGTTCTAGTACCTATCTAACACCCATGCATCCATCAAAATCAACACATGATCCAGCATTGCTGTGTTACAATCCGAGTTGCCACAACTCATATCACCACATCAACTAAAAAGGCAGTGAGGTGAAGGAAGAAGATAAGAGAATGCAGTCAAAAGAAATATTAAGTACGAGAAAGAAAAAAGGAATGACAAAATGGTGAGATTCGGTGTAGCGTCGTCAAGATGAGGGTAATGTGTGTCTACATCTGCGCCACTAACATCGGTTCTCAGTCATAGCACCCAGAGTCTTCAACCACTGGTTCCTCTTCTCCCACAGACCCCGACTGGCTAGTCCACATAGCCCCACATGGCTCAAACCAACAGTCAAACACTTCAAATATTGGTGCCATGTTTTAATCTGGCCACCTCGGGCCTTTTCCCAGCCTGCATCTACTTCGCCCAACATTCTGTGACAAGGCAGACGGTGACTAGGCATACGTAACACATATCCCACCCAACCATCTCAGTCGATGAAGGTTCACAATCGTGTCAACTAATTTACCTCTTCTCCCTCGCTAAAACTCTACACCTGACTTCTGCGTTAATCACTCACATCATGGAATACGGTCTTTACTTCAAAGGCAACGCTGGTCAAACACTCAAAGTCTTCTCATGTCTTACACCTTCAATGGAGATGTTCGACAGCCATAGAGTAGAACAGACCAGACTGTTGTGAAGTACACGCGATCCTTAATCGACAAATGGATATCACTGTGGCACAATCGGTAACATAACTTGGCAAAATGCAGCGCAGCCTTATATATTCAGCTGTCTAATATAGTCAAGTAAAAGTGTGTAAACTAGGACTGTATAACTATGAAGAAGGAGATCACCAAGAAAGATATCTTTGTTAAACCTCTAGTTATCTCTAAATAGTTTATTCGCGTAGTTTTATGACTCTTAGGCATTACGTGGCACTGAAAAGAAATGGTTATTGGCATAAAATATAAAAATATACTTTTGTATATGTATGCAGAAAATCATTTGAAATTAAGAGTACATAGATATGAGGTAACCTAGATCATAACTAAAATAGTCATAAGTTTATTATCCGTTTCAATGCGCCAAAGTAATGAAATGCTGAATAATATAAGCATAAAGATATTCACTTTGTTAAAGCATACCGGCTTGTTGAAACTGAATGGCAGATACCTTGGTAATTTTACTTCTTTGTTAGTTTCATATTTTCTTATACAAAAGCTGTGACTTCAGCTGACAGAACATCTTCTGTGGTGCTTGATAAGCGGTAAAATAAGCAAAACACTCTTGACTCATGAAAACCATCGTCATATATAAAGTGTATACATGAATATATGAAATCATATTATGCATATAAGAGTACTTACCGAGCCACCATTTTTCTGATACTTCATTCAATGCACTAACAGGCATAACTAATGTGGCAACCATAAGATCTGCTATGGCCAGACTCAATATCAGATAGTTGGAGACACGCTACACAAAAGAAGAATAAACACGAAGTCAAAACTGACCGATAAGTAATTCGATTCGGTGAAAAGAAGACTTTAATTTTTAAGTATAGGGATCATTTATTAGAAAATTGTAGCAAAATGTTATTCCTTCTTCCCCTAGATATTGTTTGAATAGTAAACATGAAGGTTGTTGAGATTAAAACCGTTTGAAATACTTGTCGCATTGTGCTATTTAGTTTTCAGGATTTCACCCTTAAACTTCAGGAGGATGGTCAGGTTATCATCGTCATCAAGATCAACATAGGACCAGACATTACTGAGTAACAGTTCAAGTTGCCACACCTCATCTCAGTATATCAAGGATGCCCACTGTTTCCATTCTTATTCAATTTCATCACAGATACTCATATGGAGGTTTTCCTCTCGTCACTTAATTACACAGACGTTGACCTAATCACAGGAAAATTTTCGTCAGACCTAGATTATGCAGATGACATAGTCCTGTTAGGTGAAGACGCTGACAAGATGCAGAATCTTCTGAACACTTTGAGCTGAAATTTGAGAATGTTTGGGATGCGACTTTTGCCACCCAAATACAAATTTTTGCTCCAGGACTGGTCTTCAGCGGTGCCCCACCGCGGCTAACAATAGAGAGTGAAGTGGTTGAGTGAGTCGACCACTTCACTTACCTGGGAAGTAAGATCAACCCTGGTGGGTTAGTTGTCAATGAAACCTCTGCACTGATACAAAAGCTTCGATTGGCTTTTGCTAATTTGCACCACCTATGGCGCCGCCGTGATATCCATTTGTCGATTAAGGATCGCGTGTACTTCACAACAGTCTGGTCTGTTCTACTCTATGGCTGTCGAACATCTCCATTGAAGGTGTAAGACATGAGAAGACTTTGAGTGTTTGACCAGCGTTGCCTTTGAAGTAAAGACCGTATTCCATGATGTGAGTGATTAACGCAGAAGTCAGGTGTAGAGTTTTAGCGAGGGAGAAGAGGTAAATTAGTTGACACGATTGTGAACCTTCATCGACTGAGATGGTTGGGTGGGATATGTGTTACGTATGCCTAGTCACCGTCTGCCTTGTCACAGAATGTTGGGCGAAGTAGATGCAGGCTGGGAAAAGGCCCGAGGTGGCCAGATTAAAACATGGCACCAATATTTGAAGTGTTTGACTGTTGGTTTGAGCCATGTGGGGCTATGTGGACTAGCCAGTCGGGGTCTGTGGGAGAAGAGGAACCAGTGGTTGAAGACTCTGGGTGCTATGACTGAGAACCGATGTTAGTGGCGCAGATGTAGACACACATTACCCTCATCTTGACGACGCTACACCGAATCTCACCATTTTGTCATTCCTTTTTTCTTTCTCGTACTTAATATTTCTTTTGACTGCATTCTCTTATCTTCTTCCTTCACCTCACTGCCTTTTTAGTTGATGTGGTGATATGAGTTGTGGCAACTCGTATCATTACGCAGTAATACTTGGTCCTATGTTGATACTGACTGATTGATTTATATCAGCTAACTGGGCAATAAAATGGAAGATAAAAAAAGAAAAATTGGTCAAAGGAATTAGAAGTGGATAGAGTAAAAGAGAAAAAGGAAGGATGAGAAGATAATGAGATTAAGTGTAACGGTTAATGTGAAGATAATGTGTATGTATCTACACCAGTGATATCGGTTCTGAGCCATATCAACTTAAGTCTTCAGCTTCAGGTTTCTGTTGTCCCGTGGACCGAAAGCAGTTAGTCTGGACGCCTGGAGCCCTTTTTCATCCTGAACCTCATTCGGCCAATATTGCGTAGCAAAGCAGACTGTGGCTAGGGATATGCAGCACATGTTCCAACCATTTCAGTCGATGGAGGTTGACGATAACATCAACTGACTTACCTCTCCTCCCTAAAACTCTACACCTGACTACTGCGTTACTCACTCACGTGGGGACACCACGAAACGCAGCCTATGCTACTAAGGTAACGGTGGTCAAAAACATGAAGTTTTCGCATGTCTTCAGGTAGGGTAACACCGTAACCTCTAAACTAGCATTGGCTACAATTAATGACTTTGTTTCAGTTGATATATACTATAGCTTGTCCTATTGGATGAAGTGTGTCTGTGTGATTACCCCAATACCTCATGAATTATACAAGTTAACACTATTTAGTGGAAACTGAAATAATTATCACTAAGTTTACTACTGATGACCATGAGTACTGAGTTTCAGGAAACCGAATATTGGTTTTCTTCGAGCTAGCAGATATCTTTTATCATTATGCTATGGCTTGCACATCTCCGTCACTGATTCAATCGAACTGATCAACCACCATTGGTATATAGGCTCCTGTGAGGATGCATCGATAAATAGTGGGTATTTTCAATTTCGTTACTTATAATGTATGGTAGTTAGGAGTGGAATCCAGAACGTGCTTCAGTTTCTCATCTAGGATTCACTCGTTAGCTGGATGTATTTGCTATGCTCGCATGATTTTGAAATAGTAGAGAATATTTGTAGGGCAGGTGGATGGTCTTGGTTGTATTGTTTTCCTAGAGCTGGGTTGTTTAATCGTTGAGCTTTTATCAGCTTTCTAAACCACATTGCTGAAGATGTCGTCTAAGAAGACAATAAAAGCTTCACGATTAAACAGCCCAGCTTGGAGAACATAATACAATCACGGATGTACCCGCCTCCAAGGAAGTAGTGTTGCTTCCACCCAGAACCGATGGCTTAAAATATGAGCACGTTACCCACTATACCACTGAGCCACGATAGCCACTGGTGGCTTATATCTATCAATAATATTGAAATTGAAAATACCGGTAATATCAAGGCATCCTCACAGGAGCCTATGTGCCAATAGTGACCGATCTATTCCATTCACTCAACGACTTAGATGTACAAGCCATAACATGAAGAAAACTATACCATGCCCGTCACACAAGGAGTGGTTATCGTGACTCGGTGACACAGTGAACAATTCTCTGACTTTTGAAGCGACTAGTCTTGGCTTAGAGTTTTAGGGGAAAAAATCGCTCACTACGAGGTAAGCTTATCCAAATAGGATGAAACGTGCATCAAGCTGAATTCTGCTGCTAACTACTGGCCATCGATAAAATCAAGATGTCGTTATTGTGATTTGATTAAATCAAAAGAAGCTCATGTAGCATTTCAGGGATTGACGTCAATTCCTTATCAATGGATACATGGAATAAAATGTAAACCATATTGATCTTTCAACTTGTATCTCAATAAATGTATCTTCCTTGTACGTGGCTTAGGTAGTGATTTAAATGTCTAGAGACCATCAAATAACAGACAGATTTCATTAGGTAGATGTTTCGTGCCTTGATAACTAATGATACTTTTGTTATTCAGTTACTGAAATATTAAAATAGACGTTCACAATCACACCTAGTTAAATGTTAATTAACAATCCAATGATGCTTTACTGTGAACCGTGTAAAGTGGGATTCTAATGTATCATCTGATAGATGTAGACAGACATTAATTTCCAAGATTAATTATGTGATATAAAGATGCTGCATTGTAGTGGGCATTGCTGATCAGAATGGATGTAAATAGTATATATTGACAGGGCAGCGAAATCATAGGCACTTACCAGTAATGGGTGAAGATTCTACCCAGAGAAACACAAGAGATAATTCGGGTATATTACGAGAAACTCAAGATAGGAGCAGAAGAGGAAATGAAGCACATTATGCAAATGACTGTCTTAGTGTAGGGTGTACACTATTTGATGACAACTGTACAGGATGTTAATAATAAAGATTTTTTTCCTTCGTCTAAAACTTCTCGTTTCCTTCAGTTATTTACCACTGGTGACTCCATCGCAACTACCGCTGTACCCATTAGCTACCTGGTGACCTTCTCTAGATCAATAATATCTATGGGTTGGGCTGCGTTCACTAGTCGTAGCTGCTGAGCAGTGGCATTCGGCATACTTTCTGTGAACTATGCAGCCAGCAACAGCGCCTCGGAGTCCTCATCCAAAGTGAGAAGTGTTCGTCTAAGTAGAGTTGTCAACTTTACAGCCAATACCAGCGGGTCTTCATTTACTCCAAGTTTCGTGTTGGGAAACTGCTGCATCGCCAGCTCTCTGTCCGCCGGGCTATCAGACTCCGCTTACAATTGTTCAACCATTCTCTTCCAAGTCTTCTTCCCATTCACACGTTCCACACCATCGTCTACCTCTCTCTCTATACCCCTCAGCAACGTGCCAAGCACCACCACCTTGGCTCTTGGATGCCAGATACCCCCCAGCTCCGCGACGGATACGAAGTCCCTGAGGGAGACCTTGATGTCTCCGTCCTTCAACACGGCAGGCCACAGAAGCAGCGACACCAATTGAAGGGAACGAGAAGACTGAAACGCAGGAAGGGATCTTTATATTGATATCTTGTACAGTAGTCATCAAATATTGTACAACCTACACTAAGACAGTCATTTGCATAATGTGCTTCATTTCCTCTTCTGCTCCTATCTTGAGTTTCTCGTAATATACCCGAATTATCTCTTGTGTTTCTCTGGGTAGAATCTTCACCCATTACTGGTAAGTGCCTATGATTTCGCTGCCCTGTCAATATAAACTACTTATATCTATTCTGATCAGCAAAACCCACCTCAAAATGTCGCCAATTAAAGATAGTTTCTGAGCGGAAATGCACCCATAAAAAACTTCGACACTTTCATTGCTTCATTTCATGAGTAGATGAATATGCATGCCAGTTAAGAGTAAATGACTTACAGGTCGATGAAAAACGAAACGAGGTTGGATAGAAGATAATCATCTTTTCAGTGACTTACTTCCATAGTTGAACATTCGTCAGTATGCTTGTAAAAGGATGGAATGTTCCGATTAAGTTTCATGAATTACAGTAGAATTCATCAGCTGGAGAGAAGACGGAGGTGATGAAGATACCCAACCAACACCACCACCAACAACAAGCTCCATTCACCATCAACAGGAGAAACTTAAAGGAAGTAGCCTCTTTCACT